CGGGAGCGCCGCCGCACTCCCAAGCGGCGCACTGTAGCAGTGCGCCACTGGGCCGGCCCGAAATGATATTTTCTAAATCTGTTATCGTGGGGTTTCTTAGTGATTCATATCAAATGGGTCAACTAGAGCATCCTCCACTTAAGTGGTATTGACAAAGAGGTTGTTGCATAGAACGTGTGATATAATGAATGAAATGTGGAGGACAAATGGTAAGTCACTAATTCACAAGAAAATTCACAACCTTGGATATCCTTGGGCATGTGTTGGAGAAGTATCTTGAGTATATTCAGTGGAATAATTTTTTTATCCTGAGTATGTTTCAGTGGAATAATTTAGTAATGTTCAGTTACTTCTAATTCATGTCTTCACAGCCAGACTCTACGATTTTTTGCAGTTCAATGTAAGAGTAAAATAATTGTAGAAAATAAAAAATTGTTTGATTTCTATATGCATTAAAATTTTAAAGTACATCTTCTACATTGCATGCCTTTCTTAAAGGGCTTTGCAATTTCCCAGTCTATTTCATTTTGTGTTCCTTTCAAAAGAACATTTTATTTTTATATTAGCCTTAAACTAAACAGGTTTGATAGGAGGACAAGGTACCAGTTATTGACCTAGTGACACCTAATATATACTCTTCATCATCCTTGGCATTGTTTATTGTAATGTTTTCCTTCCATTTAGACATTTATTTTCAAGTATCATGAGAACAGGAAAAGGAAAAGACCCCATTCTCTCAATTCTCTGTAGCTTGCAACTTTGGCTTTCAGCATTAGTTGTGATGGTTTATTGCGGGAATTTGAAACTCTTTGGGGAGATGTCCAGTCAGCAAATCTATACTTTTATTGAGAAATATGTTCTAATCCCTTAATTTAAAATGTAAAATATACTATAAGTGAAGGGCCAATCGCATTTCTATCATCGGTCATTTATAACCATTTGCTCCACTCCTGGACAAAAAAAAAAAAAAAAACCCCCCCCCCCTTTTTCGTATCTTACATTTTCTACCGTATTACAAACAAAACCTATAACTTTCTAATAATATTTGTTTAAAATATCTCCATCTTCAAATGAGCCTCAATCAGTCTCATTTGAATGATCTCATTTATACAGACTAGTTAAAAAAATCATGATAGTTTAAATTTAACATTATCAATTCAAATTTATTTTTATATAAACATGTTATGATTTTATAGTTTAAACATTCTAGAAATTTCCATGCTGTTGCCTGAATCACATTTTGATATGTTTTCTTCCTCTCTGATGTGCCACAGGACCACAAGTTTCAGATCACAGTGCATGGCATGTGGGTGACATAAAGGTCTCTGGTCACTTCCTCATCAGACACAAAGCACAGTTAGGTAGAGTGTAGACTATGTGCTTATGAAAAATGCCTAATTTCTTAGAATATGGAGTACTTCTCAGAAAATTTGAGAAGGAACATAATCTTTCCTCTCTTCCTTAAAAATAAATGGAAAGATTATTACTTCACATGGCTTGTCAGCACAATTTCATGTTATTGAAAAGAAAAGAGAAATTTTTACAACATGAAGCATACAAAAATATTTTACTTGTTTACTAACTTCCCAAATGTCTTATATATAAAAAGCTATAAATAATATTTATCTGTGTATAGTATGTGCCTTTCACAGAGTACATACAAGTTTGTAGAGTCTATGGGGAATCACAAAATAGCAAAGGCTATTTTGCTTACAAATAAGGTAAGTATTTTTTTACACTGAAGGAAGCAAAACTAACAATCAGTATTTCCTATTGCTACAAGCTTTACCTACTTTAAATATATTCTAACCATGAGAAAATGAGGTTCCAAAAGTTAATTTAAGGTCCAACCACTAGTGAGCGAGCACCTTGGGTGCAGGTCTAGGCCAATCTGTCTGCAGGAGTCAATGACTCTCCCCTCTAACACCTCGTGTTTCTAAGGAGACCGACCTAGAATGCGCAGGCAAAACATCCTCTTGCTGAGAGAAGACATATGTTTATTGTTCTTTTCTCTTGAGACCCCTCCATCTTTTTTTTTTCAGATTAAGGAAGTGGGCTGATCTCTCTATTCTTCATCATTTTGTTTGCTTAATTTCCCAGCTCATCTGATCCAAATGTCCCAGAGGAAAAATAGGGAGACGATGCCTTTTCTTACGTGAAAGGGATTGGATGAGGTTGATCCTTTAACAACTCTCCTCCCCCAACTTCATTTCAGAAGTGAAGAAAATGTTATAGACACTTAAAAAATAAGAAAAAAATAAAATAAAAAGGAAAAAGGAAAACAAAGGTGAAGAAAGATAACGCTTCAGTCAATAATGCTACTAGGATGGTTTAGAAAATGTTGTTCACTCAAAGTGTTTTCTATGCATAATGCAGCAAATTCCATCTGACTTCTTTCACAGTTGAAGGCAGTGAAAGCTTATGGAATAAAGACCCGTTGACTAGCATTTCCTACCAGATAAACTCCAAATCGGCTTTAACTTGGCACCAGGCGAGGAAGAGCTGCCAACAACAGAATGCTGAGCTCTT